ATCTTTTTGCTTGCTGAGTAATATTCCATTGTGTATATGTACCACATCTTTTTAATCCAGTCATCTACTTTTGGGCATTTGGGCTGTTTCCATGTCTAGTAAAGCTAAATATTTTAGGAGAAATCTTAGACCATTGCTTGGGTACTTACCCTGAGAACAACACTAAGGTGTTTTCAGGACAGAACACAGCCTAAACCTCAGGGAGAAAAATAGAAGTACCACGACATTGTGACCGTCCTAAAACACACGCTCCGAGTAGATGCTCTGGGTATGTTCATGCCGTCAGTTGTCTTTGCACTGGAAGGGCGACAGCGGGTGAGGAGCCTGATGGTACATACAGGACTCTTGATGTTCTCAAGATGTTTCCAATGGCGTGTGGCCCTGACTTGACAGCCCCCTGCTCACCTCATTTGCGTGATGTTGTCCGATGTCAAGATGGCAGGTCTGACCTGAGGAGAGGAGGCCTCCATTTCAGTGTCTAACGTGATGTTTAAGGAGAGTAGCTTTCATGTGACACTGTGGAACTGGTGCTGTGCCAGCCGGACCACACAGCCTGGCCTTGCCCTGCCCCGCCCTGCTGTGCCAGAGTTCAGACAGGGCGACAGGTGTGTGGGAAGGGATGAGGCCCGGGCAGCTCAGGCCAGCTGCTGTCCTAACCCCATTTGGCCTTGATACCTAACACCCGGCTCTACCTGGTCAACAGAGGAAGGTGATCTTGGCCCTGGCTTTTCCCTTCCCACCCTCACCTCTTTCCTGTCTCACCTTGTCTGTGGACCAATATGATCAAAACAGATCCTTCTCCTGAAATGTGCCCTTGGTGGGGGAACTGTGTCCATTTAATTGTGCCTTCTGATGGAGTCAGAAAAGTTTGAGAATCAACTTTTTATTTTAAAAATGAATTTTTGGCCCTCCCCTGGTGGCACAACAGGTCAATGGTCAGCATGATGAAGCTGTCTGCAGCCACTGCAGCACAGGTTTGATCCCCAGAGAGGGAGGTGACCCACATGGTGCAGCAGACCCCTCCTGTCTCCCCTCGGCAGGGTATTCAGTAGATCTGTTCTGCTCCTCATGCTGTCTCTAGTAAATTCTCTCACCCCCTGTACTTCTGGCCTGTATCCCAGTTATTGTATGCACAGATAAATAAATATTTAATAGAATAAATAAAAAACGAGCCTGTTCAGGAAGAGGGTAAGCAAATAGACAACACACCCATTCCCTGGGGTCTTGGCACTTTTTTCTCATAACTGTTTCTCTGGGTGGATGTTCCTCCTGGAACGCCTTCCTCCAGCTCTCCACGGGCAAGACTTCCTTCTTAACACTTAGCAGCGGCCTCTGCAGCGCAGGGCACCAGCCACCTTGGTCAGCAGTGCTGGGCCAGCCGCCCCGGAGGTGCTGGGCAGCAGCCCGTCGTGACACCAGAGTTGTTCCTTATTCACAGTCCAGTAAACTTTGATACCACCAAGTGCTGTGTCAATTGCTGAGCTTTTATGGGCACCATAGAGGAAGAAAACCAGCATTTGTTAAAGTTCTCTGAATAGGGCCCAGCAAATTAGACTTGACGAAAGTCAGATAAACATGGGAAACATGACTGATATGTGCAGCACGTGTCCATGGGAACACCAGCGAAGCACAGCCCCGGGTGGTGAGAACGTGATTAATAAGAGCGAAACAGGAGAAGCACCTCCTGTAGAGGAGACGCCGCAAAGAAAAAAGACTTTGACATCCAAGGGGTGGTAGATAATGGCACGGTAGATGCCTGGGGAAACTAGTAGGTAAGGGCTAGTTTGCTCTGTGGGTTCGTCTGGTGCTTTCTCCCGCTGAGGAGGGTCTTCTGTGGCCCTTGTATTTCACTTGTCTGGTAGACACTGGCAGGCAGGAGGCAAAAAAATGATGAGCTGCTTCAAGGCAGATGGGGACAGTTCTTGGATCTGTTCTTCTCAGTTGCCTTCGGTTCAAAATAAGCCTCTGGCCAAAGTGGCGTGTGTGTGTGGCATGTTTTGCTTCCCTCCTGCACCTGGTGTCCTGCTCTGCACACAGCAGGTGCTTAACGCAGTTAGCAACCTGAGCTAGGAATGCGGAGCTTATACAATTTACCCTGCACCGCAGTCTAAGAGCCGGGAAAGCGCTGTGAGGTTCAGGCAGAGCCCAGAAAGGCAGACGTTGGCCGAGCCAGAAGGCCAGGCGTGGCTGATTCTGCTCCTCCGGGCCTGGAGGGACCCCTTCATCCCTCTTGGGATGCTGGGGACATGGTGTTGGTGATGGCTAGGGAGACATTTAGTGAGAAAGTTTAAGGCATTATACAGATGCAAGGTTTTGTTATTTCTTGTGCAGGCTCCAAAAGCCAAAAATGATAAGGAGTGTTTAATGTTGACTAGATGTGTGAAGTACTGTTTACCCCTGAAGGAAGGAAGCTGTAACATTCGTGCGCTGCTTTCTCACAGGTACGAATTAGGAGCTGCTCTGTTCATCGGCTGGGCGGGAGCCTCACTCTGCATTATCGGCGGTGTCATATTTTGCTTTTCAATATCTGATAACAACAAAGCGCCCAGGTATGGAAAAATAGATGAAAATGACTTATTTAAAAGTACAATCCTGCTCTGAATTATTCCAGGTGGACAAATTCTAGCTCGTTCCTATGGTTCTAAGAAAACTTCCAAAGTCCTCCATTGGGGAGGGGTAGGAACACACAGTGACTGTGGCATTATTAAATCTAGTAAAGGGATATTAGGTATAGCAGTGTAACTATAGTTTCTTTAGAAACTGGAGCTCTTCTTTCATTCAAAAGCTACTCCTGTCAGTAGAGAGACGGGTCTAGGGATGAGGGTACAAACTTCATCTTGGATCTCCTCATTTCCACATGTGCAGAAACTGCTGCCGGTCACCTGTGGCCTGGGTTCCCAGAAGATCTTTTAAGAAACAATTTTGAAGGAGAGAAACTGAGCAAATAGACAGGCTATTGGTTTCTTCTGCCCAGATTCCCTCTGCCACAGCAAACAATCAGAAGTAACACTGAAATATTTCTGTGGGCCAGAGAAGGGGAAGAAAACTAAGTAAAAGTGATCAGCGGAAGACCTCAGCTTAGCAATGGGCCGACACGTGAGGACTGGGCGCTTCGTGTTTGCCCTGCAGGGGGAGGATGAAGCGGACCAGACTGTGTGTGTTTTGTCTTTCAGGATGGGCTACGCTTACAACGGGGCCACATCTGTCATGTCTTCTAGGACAAAGTATCCCGGAGGAGGAGATTTTAAACCCACCAGCCCTTCCAAACAGTTTGATAAAAACGCTTACGTCTGAAAGCGTGCCGCTACAACTTTGTTGTAAAGTGAACTGTTCACAGAATGATCCGGGGGGGCCCTCCGATAATTAACACTCCCCTACTATTTTTAAAAATAGGAATTTGGAGAATTGGTTGATTGTGTGGATGTAAATGTTCTTACAGAGTTACAGACGAATCATTTTCTGTTGTGGCTTTCTATAAAAAAAATAAACGTTATTTACAGGATCTGTATATATGTTTTATGGCAGCCTAGGACATGTCGGTAAATACCAAGGGTTGGAGCAGTCATCCAATGTCATTCAGATGCGGAGGCCTTTGAGCCTGTTCCCTGTGTCTTTTCTCCTTCCTTCTCCTGAATTAAACAGAAGGGGTGTAAGTCTTATCTGTGTGGGAGCAGCCAGCCCCCCCTGCATGTGATGGTGGGGTTCAACAGCACGTCACTGGCTGTTGCAGGTGTGACTTTCCCATCCTGCCACTGACTTCCCAGGGGCCTGGTGAGACTGTGGTGACCCTCTGCTTGCACGTCTGCCTGACATAACTCTGTAGGTGTCTCCGATACAGAAAGCAGATTCCAGGGCGCAGAAGAGCTGAGCTAAGGGACACCAGTCACTGCTGACTGAGGGGCCAAGTCCTGGAGCCTGCGTGGGGCTCCCAGCCCCGGGCCACCTGCAGCCTGAGTTCCCGGGCACCCCTCAGTCCCGCGTGTGGAGCTAACTGGACGATGGAGAGGCCTGTTGTCTTCCAAGATGTGTAAGCCGCTCCGGTAACTGCTGAACAAGACAGGGGCGTGTTCCTAGAGCTGACGTGCACTTCGGGGCAGCGTTATCGCATGTAACCCATGGTACAGAGAGGAGAATAAAATGCAGGTGCCAAGGAGAGATTAAATGCTAAAAACAGATTTTCCAGGGCTGTTGAGTTTCAGTTTGTAACTGGTCCAGAAGTGCCTTGAGCCACCGAAACAGCACAGTGCTCAGAATTCCACTGGGCTTTGACTCTAGAAGTGTCTTTTTTGAGGGTTATAAGGCTGTGGCACGGGGAGAAGAGAAAGGACGCCCCCTGGGTTCCCCTCTGACTGTGCACATACAGTCACTGTGATGAACACACCATCTTCGGGGTTTTCATCTATTGGGTGTCTTCAGACACGCACAGGTGACAGTGCTGGCCGCAGGACAGAGGGGAGACGCTGCCGCTGACACGGAGGGAGGGCGCTGCTCACAAGCGAGTGACGGAAAAGGGAGACGCAGAGCATGTGCAGAGCTGAATGGATCTTAGTGCAGAGTGACAAACGGCCCTGCCCGGTGGTGCAGCGGGTTAAGGCGCAGCACTGCGCAGCTAACTGCAGCAGCCTCAGCACGAGGTCGATCCCAGGCCAGGGGGCTGCCCCACAGGGCACAGCAGACCTCTCCTGTCTCCCTGCTGCTCCCCTCAGCAGTGGATTTCAGTACAATTGCCTGTTCTGCTCCCCACTCTGTCTCTGGTGAAGCCTCTCACCGCCCCTGTACCTCTGGCCTGTACCCCAGTTCTGTGTGCATAAGTAAGTGGATCTTTTTTTTTTTTTTTTAAAGGTGACAAACAGGTTCAAAATTACTGAAAAGGGAGCATGAGAGGAGAAAATAAGCCTGATGCTCATTTGTCTTAGCATGAACCTTAACGCTTAAGCACTAACGATGGCGAGTCTAGGAATGGGGAGTAAGCTCATCACCCAGAAACCTGGGGGTGTCCTCACGGCACTAGCACGGGAGTGATGAGGGCAGGGCAGGTGGAGAGACCAGGCTCGGGGGACTCTTCACCATGTATAGAATTGGGTCACTGTGTAACCCTGTGTTACTTGGGTTAAAAACAAAAAAAAAAGGTTCATTACACTTTCCTAACTAAAAAATTAACTGCAACCAGTGAGAAGGGACCAGACTTATCCTGACTCTAGACCACGTGCAGAGGAGCAGTGTCCACGTCACTTGCCTGTCCTCCCACTCGCTGCAGGGGCTTTCTCTTTGGAAGAAAATAAAGCACGTAACGTGGAAGCAGACAAGCACAGGGAAACTGCCAGAAGAAAGGCCGCATACAGGTGTGTGGTCAGAAGTTTTAATTCCTATGGGGCACCTGCAAGAAGAGACTATATGGGCGTTTTCAAAAATAATATTTCAAAAAATGTAAGGACTAAAGATGAGGCCTGATATTTAAATAAAAAGGACTAGTGCGTGTATATGAATCAGTAAGCCGTACACGTCCAGTCCTGGTTAAATAACACACAGCAGTCCCATCTCGGGAACGACCACAAGCACTTTGTTGTGATAGTAGCGGAGCCTCAGCAAGGAAGTACAGAGATGAGTCAGGCATTTGTCAAGATGAGACACACAGACTGGACACGGGGCTCCCGCCAGACGCTAACACATGAAACCTTCTCCCTTAGGCCCCTTGGGGGTAACGACGCCCCAGGCGTTTGGCACTTGAGTAGAGTTTGGCTCATTCTTCAAGGATGGAGCTTCCTTCTGCTCTTTCCCAGGTTTCCGCCCCAAAGATGGTTCTTCCTCCAAGGACGATATGTCCCAGTCGTCGTCATCCACATCTATACACTGAAAGAAACACACGGGAAGGAACGTTTGCGAAAGAAACACGGAGCCTTTCAGTCCTTCTGTGAGCCGGACAGAGCTGCTGAGACTGAGGGATACGAAGCTAGGCACGGGTAAAGAGAAGCACCAGGAATGTGTCTGCAGCCCCAGCAGCGACAGTTTGATCCCCGGCCCCGGAGCTGACCCACAGGGCGCAGCAGACCCGCCCGCTGCTCCCCTCAGCACTGTACTTCTCAATCTGACTGTTCTGCTCCCCACTCTTGTCTCTGGTGGATCCTCTTACCCCTGAACCTGTGGCCTGTACCCCAGTTCTTGTGTGCATAAAAAAATAAATATTTTTTGAAAAAAATAAAGAAGCGAGGAACCTCAGGGCAGGGGAACCTGATTAAATTGGAGGGCAATGTAGCGACTGGATTTGGAGACCCGTCTTGAGAGTGGAAGGAGTCCCCTATTTGTTTCCTGCCAGGGGAACGTACGTTCGCTTCGTCTGGCAATGAATTTAGAAAATTCCAGAAACATGGTGTTGCAGAAGACAAGTTCAGGTGTTTCCCCAGAAGGGGCTGGGCTGGCTCTGAGTTCTGCCAGTCTGTGATGCTGACATTTAACTAGCAGAGAGTCCACGGGGGTGTTGAGGAACATTACGGGAGAGAGCAGCACATTTGGCTTATATGGCAAATGACGCTAACGAAAATTTGGCAAAATGTTCTAGGTTCCACAGATGAACAGGAGAAGAATTTAAGCGATAAATGAGAAGATATGGACGTTCAGGTGAGTGAGTGGGTACCGAGCACGCTGGACACTGCTGGGGTGTGTCAGGGTGTCCTCCTGTCAGCCTGGAGCCTGGCTCTGCTCCTGACTCAGTTCACATGGCTCTAAGCTTCCGTCTACCCAACTCCCACGTGGGGCTCACCCCTGAAAGTCCCTACTTTGCTTTCCAGTCCCAGGCCTGGGAGCTGGAGGCCTGACATTCTGTCCCATCACAAGCTGCTGTGCATGAACCATATCTGCAGGCAGCAAATAATACATGGGCAATATTTCTGAAAAACCCATAAACTTTGTAGTCAAAGGCTGAGTTGCTACCAGTGGCCATTGTAAGAAGTTTGATTCTCTGTGGAATGGGAAGACATGCTATACTGAAGATGAGGTAACATCTCAACCTCTGTACACAAGAGTTTTACTTTCTATTTCAATACAAAAAATACGATTATTCAAACATGTTCATTAAAGGAGGAATACAGGGCCCTCCCTGGTGGCGCAAGGGGTTGAAGCTCAGCACTATATGCAGCCACAGGGAGCCACTGTAGCACAAATACAATCCCCAGCCAGGGAGGTGACCATATGATACAGCAGACCTCTCCTGTCTCCCCCAGGCTTCCCTCAGCAGTGGGTTTCAGTAGATCTGTCCATTCTGCCCTCTGTCTTTGGTGAGAGAGAGAGACACCCTGTACCTCTGGCCTATTCTTGTGTATATAAATAATCTTAAAAAAAAAAAAAAAAAAAAATATTACTTCCCAGTGTATGTTTGGCAAAAAAAAAAAAAAGCAATTTTACCTTGAGTTCTTCTTCTAATTCTTTTTTGACGAACATCTCAGTAACATTAATCCCGCCAACGGGCTTATTCCCATTTCTGTGATTTGAAACCGTCTTTTCAACTTTTTCAGTAAGTGTTTTAATGGCGGTTCCTGTATGACCGATAGAAAAAATTCAGGTAAAGTTTTTTTTTTAACTGTACCTATCTTTAGTTCCTGAGTAATCTGATAACCAGCTTGGAAAAAGTCTAAGCTTAGTAAACATTTATGTGTCATTCAAATAAAGTCAAAGGATGTATTTGGGTAGCTAAAGTAAAGTGAAACATTCAGAATTGCTTTAGAAAAAAATCATGAGCTGAAAAATGATGCATTAAGATTTTCATTTAAGTCAGAGAAAACTGGTTATATTCAGCAACATGGTCAGGAACTTTTTATCCAGCGAGGTAACTTCTGGAATATTCTGGAATATTCACATGGGTATTTTCAGAAACAACACTAATACTTTTAAATGAACTATATAATACTTTTAACATAATTATATAGCTGTATGGTATATAAATATAAGCATAAAAACCACATACAATACATCAATTATATCTACTATATTAAAATATGTAAGTTAAAATTTGCAGAATCTGCAAATTAAAATTTTAGCAGAATTTCTTTTGGTAAGAAATGGCCCGTTCAGCCCCACTTCTCGTCAGCAAATCATCAGCAGTTACAGACCTGAACTTTGCATCTCTCTTCAGAAGTACCCAGAGTCCAAATGGGGGCACTAGGGTGAACCCTACAGGTCTATGACTAGTTTCTGTATGAGAAAGGGAAATTTACACACAGGTGGGCACAGAAGGAAGTTGTGGGGAGATATGAAGAAAAAGAGCCTTGTGCAGGCCACCCACTGAGGGGCTAGACAAATCCTTTCCTGATGCCCCAGGAAGAACCAACCTTACCACCCTTGATAGCGGTCTTCCTTGTGACAATTTCTTACAGCAGCCCCAGGGAAAGAATACACCCAGCTTCCCTAACGCTTTCCTTTCCCTGTGAATCCCAGGGAGTGTTAGGCCTGTTCCACGTCCCTCCAAGAGGGACCTTCCCATGGGCTCTGCCCCTGCCCTCCTCAGCAGCCCCATCCTGTGAACCTCCCAAGACAGAATTCCGTAAAGAATTTTCCCTGCTAAAACTCACTTGTGGGCTTGGGGGAGATATCGGAGTCCTCCATTTCGCTTCCCTCAGTCCAGTCGGTGTCACTTTTGACTGAGCTCTTTGTAAGGCTACTCTTGGAGCTTTTAGCGGTCGGAACAGGAAGTAAGTCTGGGGACGTGAAAGCCTGGACGAAGTCGTCTTCTTCCAGCTCGTCCTCCGAGCTAAAGGGAGGGGTCCTAAACAAAGCAAACCCATACAGGCGCATCGTTTTCCTAAGTTTCAGTCCAAATGTGGTTTAAGAGGAGAAAGCTTCCTCAGGAAAAGCCCCCAAACACCCACGTTATCACAGGACAAGATGGCGGCGAGGCCCAGGACCGCCATAACAGGCTGAAGAGATGATGGCGGCATGATTATCAGAACGGGCCAAAGTTTCCATGCGTCTCCTCTAAACCCAAACTTGTGGGTCCTTAATCGTCCTGGCTTTTTTCAACTAAGGAAAATATTTCTCAGTGTCGGAAAAAAAGATTTCTGCGAAATAAATGCTTCCATCTTTTAAAATAGTGCCTTAGCTTTTCACTGCCCCTTACACAACCTTATTTGTATTATCACTGGACCATCCCACTTTAAAAGTGAAACAGGAGTTTGAGAAGAATGTTCATTTACTCTAAAAATAATCACTGAACACCTAAATTACAAAGTTTAGTTACACTCTGCCGCATGAAATAAACCTCTTTCCATGAGATTGTGGATATGAAGAGTGATTTTAAAGGGTCAGTCAGTATTTAATTTGTCTCCATCGTATTTACATATGTACTATCTGTATTATATATGATTTATACTGTCTCTGCATACACAGTGCCTTAATGAAGTGCTATTCACGGCACCAATCTTGAGTATAAGTCCATAATTATGAGTTTAAACTTTAATGAAATGAGTGCTGTAATAATCGATAACAATATACCTACAACTTATTGAGTACCCACAGGTGCCCAGTACTGAGTCTTATCCTTTTCGGATGCCCTCATTTAATTTGTAGAACTATCCATAATAGATAAGAAAACTAACAGAATCGGTGGCCCAGTTAGTGGGTAACTGAACTGGGACTCTTGGTAGTGTCATCTCCAGAGAGAATAAGGTGTAGGGTCATTATCTCCTTTCACGTGAAGCATGAACACCAGGACGATCTCTGGCTAACTGCTGTGGATCCAGTCATTAAAACTCCACATCGTTCGTTGATCATGTTTATTGAAAATTACTGGATTGTTGGGTGCTGGGTGGAGGGAGGGGGTGAAATTATTCAGACAACTCAGGTGTAGTCCCACTTCTTAGTGGAGGCCACAGTGTGGCAAGTGTGATTGACTTACGGAATATCCAGTAAGGAAATAAAAACTTGTCTCAAGGGAATGACAAATTAATTACATTGCTTAATAATTGTGGCTTCAGTTAACCACAATGAGCAGACTAACAAAATAATAGGGATCTTTAATGAAAAGAATTCAAATCACCCACTACATTCCTTCCCCTCTCCTCTCACCACAAGTACTCACGTAATGGATGAAGATTTTCTGGGTAAATGATCTTCTACGACATTTTTCTTAATTCTGGAAACAAAACAAAAACTTCTAAGTGGTAGAAATGAATTTCATAAAAATGTCTCGGGAATTGGTGAATTTTGATTTTAGTATATAGCAAGGAAGGAAGGAAAGCAGCAGCAAGTCTCCCAGTGAGGAGAGAGACGGGTAGGAATTGCAAGGGTGATGTCTGTTGGCTCTATGTCCTGGGTTTGTGTCCCCCTAAAATTCATACACTGAAGCCCTAACCTCCACTTTCACAGCGTCTGGAGGTACAGCAAGGTCAGGTTCTATGAGGTTGTCTTCCCGCGCTTGCGGAAGGGTGACCTTCCTCGTCCTTCCATGGCAGAGGGAGGGCGGGATGGATGGGGGTGCAGGTGCGGGGTACTGTGTGGGCTGTTCTTTGCTTACAACTACTCCAATCCCCTCCTAGGGGCTCCGTCCTCATCATTCTCAAAGGCATTCCAGCCTCCGGAAGTGTGAGAAAATAAATGTCTATTATTTTCTTTACCTACCTAAGAATTCTTTATGGCAGCCCAAGCTATGGCAGACATTAGCAAAGAACAATGTAGGGTTTACGAAATACTCACACTGGAACGGATGTCTTATCAGTGAACACGGGTTTTTGCCTAATCAGTTGTCTGCTTTTGGGAGGCAGCTGTGAGCACCTGGGCAGTTCTCCAGTGGAAAGGCTCTCCACTTGGGAAATACTGGACTCCGGAAGGGCGGCGGCATTCATATGTCCCAGGGGCCGTTCTGATCAGATGAAAGAGCAGAAGAGGATACTGTGTATGCTGGCACTGAGACAACAGCCTGTCCCTGTTTTTTTTTTTTTTTTAAATACTTTTTGTAAAAACAAATATAAGATCCAATAGATAGTGGTTCCAATAGTCATAGAGTTGTCAATTAAGTCCGAAGATCTGTGAGTCTTTTACGATTACGAAGACATCCAATTTTGCTCCCTCTGCAGAAGTGAAATGGCAGCTGGTGACAGACTCACCTGAAGACAGTAACATTCTCTCCTCGACCTGAAGGTTGACCTGATGCTCGAGGGACTTTCGAATCTGCTGAATGTTAGGTATTTGTTTTTCTTTCTCATGTCTTGCGATTTCCATGGACCTTAGTAATTTATTCAGGTGTTCGCTTGGAATACCACGTAGATCCTGCAGGGGTAAGACAGTGCATCAGCTCTCCTGGGATGTTCGTCTCCTTTCGTGGACATGAACACTAATTGGGCCAACCTTCTGTCCTTAGGGCGGCATAGACGGGTGATACCTCAATACATAGCACACAGGCTTGGCCCCCAAAGGATCTCATAGTTTAGGGGGGGACATGTATGGCACATGTTGATAAAACATGACTGGTTGGCAGTACATGAATGCAGCACCCACAGCAGAAAGGACGATAAACGGACTGTTAACTAGAAAGGCAAGGTGTATGATCTGGACTGAATGAATCCACAGGGAGAGAAGCCATGGGAGGTGCCTGTGGCGAGAGAAGCCTTGGGGGCAGCTGGGCTGGGTCCTGAGTGGGTGGATTGAACAGGTGGCCAAGGCCTAATACTGATTAAGGTAAGACAACAAAGAGTCTCCGAGGTTGTTGGAAATGATCAATCTCTTGAACTGGGTGATGGTTACAGATCATACACATGGGTCTGTACAACTCCATATATACATTTGTACACCTAGGTCATTTGAGTACACATAAATGTAGGTACATATGGGTAGGCACATTTGTATACAGATACAAACATATATATCTAGGGATACACACATATCCCCATAATGTATGCGGATACTTATATGTATACCCACAGAACTATGCTCACAGTATACATACATATATGCACCTGTATATACTCACTGCAATGAATATACATAGATGCACCTGTATATACTCACTGCAATGAGTATACATAGATGCACCTGTATATACTCACTGCAATGAGTATACATATAGGCACCTGTATATACTCATCACAGATGCACACATCCATGCACATGCACGTACACACCAGCTTTGCATACACACCCATATACACAGGGGTTTATAAATTCAAGTCGTTTAGTTAAGATTGTGTACTTTGTGTATATTGATAAAATATGTAAAGAGCAGTGAGCATAAACAACAAGATGTAAAAGAATTATACAATCTGGCAACAATACGAAACGCAATTCACTCATCCACTCATTGTTACTTACAGACTAATTTTGTTAAGAGGCTGTGATGGGGGGTTAGTATTGGAAGCAGGAAGCAAGCAGCACTGTGAATACCTGGATTGAAACTCTGGCTCCGAAGCAAGTTGTGCAACCTCTCCAAAGTGGAGTTAATGTTGTCATTTGTCTCACGGAGTTTTTCTTTGTTTAAGTGAGTTAATATTTGCACCTGTTTTAGGAAGGTGCCAGGCACAGAGCAAACGCTAGCTCATGCTTGAGAAATCATGTCACCTCACTGTCCGGTCTGTTCATGTGGACAAGACTGGCAAGTCACCTTCTTTCTTTTGATCACTCCTTACTTAGAAAACAGGCCCTCCCTGGTGGCGCAGCAGGTTGGAGCACTGCACTGAGAAGCTAAGCCAAGCTGTAGCTGCTTCACTGTGAGTTCGATCCCCGCCCCAGAGGTGACCCACAGGGCGCAGCAGACCTCTCCTGACCCACCCGCTGCTCCCCTCAGCAGTGTACTTCGTCGCTCTGCCTGTTCTGCTCCCCACTCTTTCTCTGGTGAATCCTCTCACCGCCCCCGCACGTCTGGCCTATGTCCCATTTCTGTATGCATAAATAAATAAATCTTAAAACAAGCAAGTATTTAAAAAATGAATGTACTTACTGCATTAATCCCCAAGGTTTCCAGTTTTTCCACCAAACTTTGCTCCAAGACAGCTTTGATTTCCTTAGTGAGGGTGGGGTTATTCTTCAAAACCTTCCTTAAATGTGCCTTGTTATTTATTTTCTGTTCATTTTCTCTTCCTGAAATAAGGGTTGTTTCTTTTTTTTAATAAAAAAGTGCATTAACAAAGGTTTAAACAAATACAGAAAATGGCAAAACACAGCTTTGAATGGTAAGAAAACAGTTTTTTGAATTTGGGGATATTTCAGCCATTCAGCACAATATAAAACATTTAAGTATTATAACCTTAAAAACTTCAGGCTCTTTCAGATCACTTAACTGAGTTATAGTTAAATAATGCAAGAAATGCGTCTAAAGGAACACAATGAAAACAAGATATTTAGGGGTTTATTATTTTTACCCCCAAATTATTTCACTACTCCCTGAAGAATCCATTTCTCCTAAATTTAAAATCATTTCATGAAGCAAAAGCCCAATTTTTGCTCAAGAGCTAGTAAACAAGAAATTTAGCAGAAGTTTATAGAACATTTCACAAGTGAAAATTCACATTCCTCTCAAAACATTTACTGAAATGAAAAAAGAAACAGATGAACGTTTTAGGGGAAGTAGACTTCGTTTAAAACAACCTGTCATTTAAAATAATGAAAAAAAAATAGCAGCAGATTATCCTCACATTTCCTTCCCTAATCCTCCTCTCTTACTCCCCACTAAAGTATGGTTATTTTCTGAAAGAAAAGGAGGGGGAGTGGGATCGCGTGGCCTCTGAAGAACTGACTTCTTCGAGGAAGGAATCCGAGGGCTTGCTGAGAGATAATAACCCTGCTGGCAGCCCGCAAGGTGGGGGGTGATGGGGCGGTGAGGGGGGGCGCAGGCAGAGCCAACTCTGGGAGAAAAGGCGACAATAGAACTGTCTTTCTGGAGTCTCTTCTTGGGACAAGGGGTTCACCGAAAAAGGTGGCATAAATGTCAGTGCTTTGGTCTGGGGGTGCAGGGAGCTCCCCATTTAGTCCGTTATTCCATGGTCTCCTGCATCTGAGTAGAGGGGAAGTTTAGGGACTGTTGCACTTGGAGTTGCAGATTTTGGAACAAAGTGACTTTGCTTTGAAATGTTCCCTAAACCAGAGTTCTAGCCCAGGAGTAAAGAGTATTTCTGGTCATGAGTAAATAGTTGTGCTGGAAGCAAAATTAGGCAAATTACGATGGCACATTACATGGAAGGGGGAAAGGCTGCACGGAAGATGCTGATCTGTACTTCCAGCTGGCTGAATCAAAATCAGGAGCTTCCATGATTACACAGGGCTAAAAGCAAGGGCCTTCCCTGGTGGTGCATCGGGTTAAACTGCAGCACTGCAGGCCAGCCGCAGCCGCTTCAGTTTAATCCTCAGCCCTGGAGGTGACCACATGGCACGGCAGACCACTGCTGTCTCTCCCGCTGCTCCCCTCAGCAGTGTACTTCGTCAATCTGCCAGTTCTGCTCCCCACTCTGTCTCTGGTGAATCCTTTCACAGGCCCTGTACCTCTGGCCTGTACCCCAGTTCTGTATGCATAAATAAATCTTTTAAAAAATGTATTAAAAAAAAAGTATTTCATTAGTATTCATGCTGCTGTTTCCCCACATTCTTAAACCACATACACACACACAAATAAGCACTTCTTCTCTAGGAGCTGGGGATCCCTCAATATCTAGAGGTCCGGGCTGACGTCATGGCCATGTCCTTGGGGTTTGGCTGCTCGCTGGTCGAGACCGCAGCTGTCCAAGATGACGACTCCAAAGAGGTGCCGAGACAGAGCCTGGGAGGCACGGTGCCACCCTGCCATACGCAGCCTCCGATGATGCAAAGGGAACCCTGGGGGCAGCCCCAGAGAGAAGAGGAGCGGCAGAGAAGCACAGCCCGGAGGCTGTCTGCTCTGGGACGTGGACCACACGCAGGGCCCAGTGATGGGAGAAAGGTTTGGACCTTGCCGTGTGGAAGAATTGTTGAGTTGATGACCATTCACTGATTGGTCTAGGTCGCCCTCAATCTGAGGACAAGGCCTTTGTGATGACCCAGTTCCCCCAGATGACCACACATTCAACCTTTTGCGCCACGGGATGGTGACCCCTCTATGTGGAATACAGAGAAAGCAAAGAAGGGTCAGATAAAGCCGCGCTCGCAAAACCCTAAAAATGCGCCTATAGATCTGAACCACCAGAAGTGGGGGCGGGGGGAGGGGGCATAGCTGGTGGGAGCCCGATGGACTTGGGGGATTCCAGGGGCTTTGGTGGTGGGTGTGGCACTGCCACACCTGAAAGAGGAGCTCCTATACTCTAACAATGTGATAAACCAACGTTACCCCCGTAAAATACAATGAAAACAAACTTTCTCTCTGTCCTTAACTCACTTTCCATGATGGCACCTGCTTTTGGCTGATTTATGGATGGTTAGAGATCCCTGAGGACTTGTACAACTGGGGCTAGCCAGTGGAGGCGAAAGGGAAAATACCGAGTGGACGAGAAAGAAAAGCTTTTATGAAAAGGTGGATCAACCCCTTCAAAGCCAAGTTGAGTGGGAAGTTTTAGTTAAAGCAGGCTTCGCTCGCTAAGATCGTTAAGACGGAACTTTCTAGAGAGCAATATTTCCTCTCCTTAAAATCTAACGCCTACCCAACACACAAGAGCCCACACAGTGGTCAGTGACATTGGACCTATACAAAAACTGTAGTGCAAAGCTAGCTGTATAAAAACAAAGCAAAACACAGCCCCCCCACATCAGAAATTCTGAGTTGGAAGGGACTTTAACTAGTAATGCCCTGCCTCGTTTTTCAGAGGAGGATACAAAAGTCAGACAAGTAAAGAGACTTCCTCAGAGGTCACCTAGCTAGCCCTGGGCCAGCTGGTCTCTCTGCATCACGTTGTTTATTGCATTAAACTAGAGGAAGAAGAAAACCTAAATGGTAGTCTCAGCTTGTGATTAATTAAACTTGATGGACCACGAGCTCCTAATCACACTTGCAATTCAAGTTGAATTTCTAATAATAAAGTGACCTCAAGGATCCCTCCTTGCCCTCGCATTCTAGCAAAGAACTGCAAGATCAGTGTCTCTAGTAACGGACAAGAAGCAAGGATGCAGAAATATTCACGTGCAACTTCTCAATGAGAGCCGTGGTGTTCTTCCAAAGCCCTTGCCAAAATTAACTTGCACAGGCAAAGTGGTAGCACAAGCTGGTGAAATGACTGATGGCGATTGACCCGCTGAAGTTGCTGCTTCAGGGAGGTACCAGAGGATGTGGCCACGTGTTCTAGGCACTAGGATTCTGGGGCACGTTCTGGGGTGCCTGGCACTCTCCTGTCTCCCGGTAGAACTGGGTGTGAATACACAGTGGGAGCGAAGATTATCCGCTTTCCCGATCTGGTTCCCCAAGTGTGGCAGCTGCCAGTGACTGTGTTTGCTGTCCTGGAGCCCTCTTACATCGTCTGGTTAGGAGACGAGAACTCTGCATGAAGCCCAGGTGCAGGGGCTGGAGAATTCCTCTTGGAATCCGACTCGTTTTCTGAATAAATGTGAATTCTCCTCGCTCCAGTTGCAAAATTGTGGGGCCCTTTTTATGAGCGTCTGGACACATTCCATCGATTATCCAGAGAATAAGGAACTAGGCATTCTGGATATCAGTGAGCGACACTTATTTAATATACAAAGTGTGTTACTGGCCAGTGAAAGGAACAGCATGTTCGGAGGTGCCTGACTTAGTCACTTCTCCGGTGTAGCCTGGTCAACAGTTTGTGGAAACTGGAGAACAACTGGAGCCCACAGAAGGAGTTGTAACAAATATTTACGTATTCAGGTACATAATTTTACTTCTCTTCCTAACAAAACGGACAGAATCAAAGCCCATGAGAATATTAACAATTTGTTATTTCCTAAGAAGAACGTGATCTGCAGCAAGGCAGTATTACTAAGGAGAAACCATGAGATGATAAACTGGTCCATATATAACTGATCCACAAGGCGAGCATTGGAAAAGGCTCTTTGTAATTAACCAAAATCCACAGACGTCAAAACCTGGTAGAAAATCATTTTTAGAACCGCCAAATAAAATGAGAAAGCAGAAATAATTGACTGTTAACCTGTAATAGCACCCCTATTCCATAAAGATATTCGGCACATAAATATTCTACGTTCAGAGTTTAAACATTATGCTTTTCTTGCTATTAAAAATAATGTGTGAAGCAGTCGGGTAAATCATTCATTTCACAGTTTGGGGGCAAGAGAAAGAACTACTGTGATATGAATATCTTTGTATCATCAGATAATACAAAGCAAAGTAGCTGCCCTGATTTTGACATACTAAGAGACAAGCCACTGGAATTTACTTTCAAGTCTTGGATTTTAACATCTAAGCAAGACCCTTGCCAGGAGAAACCTCCGGCAAGCACTTTGTTACCTTTTTCTTCCTCTGATAGTTCTTCTATTGGTTCCAGTATGTGCGATGAGAATGCCTGTTCTATTAATGAGGAAAAATAACAATAGTACAAACAGGACAACAGCAAAGTAACATCAGTTTCCTTTCAAGAAATGTTGAAAGATAATTCCACAGTATTTAATCATGCCTAAAAGAGCAAAAATTTACTAGGAAAAAATTATCTAGGCTAGCAGGTCAAGCTGGTCACTTTTTCATGGTACCTTCTCTTCCTTTGTATTTTCCGTTAACTCCATGCTCAGAAAGATTGAAATCTTATATAATTAAATGAACATTTCTCATCCACCCATCTAATACCTGATTGAGTCTTTGAAGGCCCAATGATACAACTGTAAAAGATCTTCATCACCCTGGGGCCCTCCATGGTGGCGCAGCAGGTTAAAGCTCAGCACTAAGAGGCTAAAGCCACTTCAGCACGAGTTCAATCCCCACCCCGGAGGTGACCCACATGGCGCGGCAGACCTCTCCTGACCTCCCTGCTGCTCCCCTCAGCAGTGTACTTCGTCAGTCGGTCTGTTCTGCTCCCCATTCTGTCTCTGGTGAATCCTTTCACCAGCCCTGCACCTCTGGCCTGTACCCCAGTTCTGCGTGCATAACTAAATAAAATCTTTAAAAAAAAAAGAGATCATTATCCCGAAAATACTTTCCTTATAAAATACTTTGATCAAGAGTGAAATAGCGGGCCCTCCCTGGTGGCGCAAAGGGTTAACACACAGCCTTACCAAGCAAGCTAGAGCCCACTTTAATTTTGATATATGAATGTCCCCAGCCTGCACCCCTGCACCCCCCCCAAAGCATTTAAATTCATCCATGTACCCACCACTGCTCAACACCAAATGTGCGCTTTTGAATTTTGATTACATCAACTATTTTACTAGTTAATTTTAAATTACATCAACTATTTTACTATTTCAAGTGCTGAAAACAGCAATGTTGGAAGAATGACTGATTCAGTTTTTCAAAAGTTGCAGGGTTTGTATTCTATTGCACATTTTTAAACATTGTATTTTCAGGTAGTGGCAAAAATAAAATCACCCTGTGTGATTTATTTATTGTCATCCTGGGATGGGGACGCCCCTGTGACTAACTTCTCTGGGGTCAGGAAGAGTCCCAGGCTCCCGGCTGAGGTGCCCCAGGCTGGGTCTGGGGGAGTTCTCCCAGTTAGGGGAGTTTCCTAACTGGGGCTCTGGCTCCCTGGGCAAGGCGACCGGCCCCGGTCTCCCCAAGCCAGGAGGGTCTCTCCTGCCACGAGATGCAGGTCTAGTCTCCAAACCTCCCAATTCCTGTCTTGAGTTGAGCTCTCTGGGGTGCAAAGTGAAACACAGGGGAGGCTTGGGCTTCCTCTTGGAACTTGCTGGAGACTTCCACAGCAATCCTTATGTTAATCTCCTGTCCTTGCCTCTAGAAGGAAAACTCCCAGATCTCCACACGGCCCTGCTGCTGTGGCTGTCTTTGCTGGACTGTCCCTGGGAGCTGACCATCAGCTGGTGGTCAGTATGGCTGCTGGGCGACCCTTCGCTCTTCTACACCTGCCGATGTATCTATTACCAGGCTCCCCCCAAGTGGCAGGCAAGGCAATGGAAGCTTACTGCCTCGCGAGTCCACTGTGGGTCCAGATTGTCCTTGCAAGGTCCAGGCTTCCCCACTGGGTTTGTCTTCTGGAATTCGGGAGCCCTGTGTTCTAGCTCATCATGTTCACCTCCCCCCTGGCCCTCAGCCCCATGCCCTCAACCTTTCCCTGACATACGTATGCATCTCCCCCTGTCTCATGGCCCAACCCCGTACCCGGTCTGGCACAAGACGATCACTAGCGGCTCCCGCCCTGAAGCCATGGTGTTCCCCACATGCTGCTCAGGCCAAGCTTCCCTAATCCCCGCTCTGCCATCCTGCCAGGCCCACTAGCCCTAAGAACAGCCCTGGCAGCTTCAGTCCAGCTCTTGTGAACACCGAGCCCCATTTCCCTCAAGTCTCTCTTTGCCATCTGAGCCCAGTCAAATAACTCGCCCCAACCATTAATTCACATCCTGTGTTTTCCCATTACCACCTTCTACTGCTTTGCTTTGCTTTCCTCTCTTCAGAGGAAGAGAGCAGCCGACACCCCCTCCTGGGACACCCACATCTGAGAGCTGACCCCTCAAGGTGCCCATCTCGGCTCAGAGGTTTTGGGGAAGATCTGCTGAGGCCTCTGCTGCAGCTGCATTTGGTTCGGGGTGTCTCCTTCTCCCATGGGGCTGCCTGAGAATTGTGTGGTAAATCTTCCCCCTGGCCAATCTCCACCTCGGTGTCCCATTCCCAGGGAACCCAAGCTACGAGGCGAGCAGCCGTGACTTTTTCACGTCAGAGGACCTCATCAACAGGTGCAACAAAAGGCAATATAGAGAGGGCATCGGACTAATTAACTTCACGCAGCTCAGAGTAACCCTCCCCGCCCCCAACGGCCAGCAGGTCAGTCTGCTCCTTGCTCCTGCCCTCGGACATGCTCACAAACCAGCTTTGATCCCAGCCCAAGGGTGGCCCCCTGCCAGGTCTGGCTGGCATACTACTAACATCTCAATCCCAGCAGTGCCAGCCGAGGCGCCCAGCGGGTACCTCCGCCGATGGGGGTCGGGGTCACTCGCAGCACAGTGCTGGAGAACTGATAGTGGGGCTGCTGAATGGACCTGCTGAGTGTGTCCTTTGCCAGGTGCCCAAACCTTAAGACCAAGGGAAGGTCCTTCAGGCAGCTAATGCTCCTGAGGTAGATAAATGAAAACTACAGCAAAATCAAAATACTCTGTGGACGCACAAAGCTGAAGTGGCCGGAACGCCCTGTGAGAGCTGGCCCCAGAGAAGAATGCCGTGGAAGGATTTCAGCCTGAGAGAACAAGGGCCAGGCACGGTTTTCTTTTCTTGCACAGTCACGATTAAAGCTGAGTGACAGAGCCAGCATGCATTTTGTCTCTGATCTAAAGCGGTGGGTGGGGGGTGTGGGGGGTGGGGTGTGGAGGGGGGAGCTGCACATTCTAGATCCTTGCAAGTGCTAACATGCAGCAGGTGGAGAGAATTTATGCGTCCCCCTAGGGCAAACACAGGTGCTAGGGAACAGACACACCTGAAACAATCTTGGGGGAGAAATGAGACTCAAATAAACTCTCCGTGAGCCAGTCAGTGAACAAAAAGGGCCCACGGCAGAGGGCTCTTGGGTGTTTCTGAAGATAAACAGTCTGGCTCCACTGCCCACGGACTGAAGACTGAAATTAAAAGACTGAAAACAGAAGTGGAATGAAGTAACTGCTAGATTCCAGAAGCATCTGCAGTGGGCCAGGAGAAAGCTAGTTCCCCTCCCGCCTTAATTTATCACACAGCTGGTCATAGGAAAACAGCGTATTATAAAACAGCCTGCAGAAATAGTCTACAGCCAAGGCCTTCGTCCGCTGTCGGCTCCTGTTAATCACAAACTCGCTCCCATCAGCCCACACGCCGGGTCCAAGAACAGAACCCTGTCCACGGTTTCAGCCAATGCTTCCTCCTTGTGCAATTTGGTTTCTATCACATGTCTTTTCCAGATTTTCCCAACCAATCACTCCAGCTATTTGTTTAAAAAGGGCAACTGGCCGCCATGCTGAAAGTTAAATAAACAAGTACACATGCCCTGCGGCAGCTGCTGGTTGGTCGGTCTAGCAGAAAGTCACCCTCTTGCCCAACATCTGCTCTGTCCCTCCCAAAGTCATAACCGTCTCCGGTCCACTCTGCTAGCGGGGCTCTGGGAGGCAGGGCTGGCTTGTCACGGTGTCACATACGAGGCTGCTGTTCTAACGAGCGGCTTCGCATTCACTCCGGTGTTTCCTGCCTTTGCTCAGGGATCCCCGCAGAGGCGCTTTGGGTTAATAAGTCAGCTAACTCGGGGCGGGGACCACACTAACGAACGAACGAACCGAACGCAGAGACTCTGCTGGAACTCACCGTGTGTCATCGCTGGGCTGGGCTGGGCAGCCGCGGCCTGGGGGGCTGGGGCGCTCACTGAAACAGCACAGAGAGAAGAAGCTAAGCTCGCAGGGCTCCTGCATGAAAGCAGGGGCGGCTGGTCGGGAGGAGGACCCGCGGCGCTTCGCCAGGGAGCAAAGATATAGACAGGCGAGGGCCTCCCTGGCAGTGCAAGGGGTTGAGATGCAGCACTGTGGAGCTACCACAGCCACTGATAAATGATCCCCGGCCAGGGAGCTGACCTACAGGGCACCGCAGTCCTCTCCTGTCTCCCCACTGCTCCCCTCAGCAGTGCATTTCAGTAGATCATCCTATTCTGCTCCCCACCCTGTGCATCCTCTCACCCCACATCTCTGGTCTGTACCCCAGTTCTTGTATGCATAAATAAACCTTTTTTAAAAATAGGAATAATGTTGCTATGAAGACAAAAGAGAAACCAAATTTTTTTTTTTAAAAAAAACCACTGGTGTGGAGAAGGCACCCAACCAATCCCTGCCTATGGAGCGAATGTTCCTGATTCAAGAGGGACTGAAAGCTCTCTGCTTAAATCATCCCAGAAAGTCAGACTGCACAGCCCCCCTTTCTAAATACTTGACAGTTTCAATCTGAGGGTGCTTCTAGACTGTCTGTCTGTTGAGTGACTCTTTCTCTATTTGATTGCGGTAGATCCTTGACTCCAACCCTACCCTAACTTGCAACTATGTGCAAAGAGCTAACACTGTGGAAAGAAGACCCTAAGCCCAGCTGCAGTTTGCACCATGTAAGTCAAGCTTTTCTAACCACAGCATGTGGGTTCCGACAGCGCTTCCCTGGAACAGGTCAGAGTTCCAACATACAGTCAAAATACACGCAGCAGCAATTCAGGGGCTTTTACGCACGCGGGCCACCCTTCTCTGAAGCATGCTTTCCACCCCACCCCGGAAGATTCAGTCCAGCTGCTGCTGCACTCCCTCCTGTCTTCAGCCCTCAGCCTCTGCTGGAAGCAGCTCAGAAGGCGAAGTAACACAAACCACCAGCATTCCCAGTCCATTGGGCCAAGTTCTCACTGTCTCAACCTTCACCACCCGCAGTGTTCTCTCTCAGCGACCCCCTCGGGCCAGGCTCCCAGCTCTGGAGACCAGGCCCTTGTTCCCACGCTCGGCCTCATACACACCCTCCATCTCCTGCTTCTCTCCTTCCTCCCTCCCGTGTTTCTTGCCTCCCCTTACACTTTCCTGACTGGAAATGAAAATGCCCCCAAGGATTCTCTTACTGCCTGCGGTTAAACAGCACAGACCATGTCTTTTGGGATGACAGTTGAGTCCTGGCTGGAGATTCACCCTCAGCTGCCCCCCACGTGTGTGAAGGGCAGGTCAGGGGTTCAAAGCTCGGCGCCCACCCTGAGAGCCTCTATGGAGCCACGATGGGGAGACCACCACGCACAGTGGCTCCCTCCCACGGCATTACCTCGGCAAAGCCCACAGCACAAACTGGAGCCAAGTCGAAGGCCTGCCCGCGGTCCTTTTATATCAGGCCGACTGCAAAATGATCGGTCTGGCTAACCGAAGTCACCACGAGGCTGTGTGGGTATTCACGAGCTTGTGTTGAAGACTAGGTTGAAGCCAGGGCTCAAAAGAAATCAATGTAATCTCCAAACACACTGGTTCTCAGAGAAAAGCCTCTAAACACAGTAAGTAGAGGTATGTAATGGTGTTATTAGTACCTTAAACACATCTTTAGACACCCAAACTTATTAAAGAAACTTACTAGGTACAGCAGAGGCATTTGGCTTGGGCTCATAAATTTGCCAGGTTGAAGGAGTCCCTGAAATAACAAAAAGTTTAATTAATAACAAAAGCCACAAGCTGTGGGTTCTATCTAACTACCTATCTACCTACCTACCTATCTATCTAGATATCCATCTGGCTGCAAGTCCTTCAGAAAAACAATGAAATGTACAAAAACAGTGAAATTATAGCGACTCACACACCATATGTCTAACATACCTGCTAACAGACTTTTCCCTGGAATGAGTTTTCAGTCCACTATGTACACTACAAAGTACTCATGCAGGTATCCCTCACTACGCAAACTCTCATGACGAGAGGGTAATTCCAATCCTTCACCTCAACACAAGAAGGAAACCAGTGGGTTACTCAACTTTCTCTCTTCCGCGGTCCCCGGAAAAGGCAGGAACCCCATCCTGACCAATCCCCAGTTGGCTTCCAATAAACAGACAAAATTCTGTAACCACCCAACATGGGCAGAAGCCCAGAGGGGGTCACTCGAAGCTGTTCCGGCAGAAGGCAGGCTTCCACGCTTTCTGGTGAGAGCTGCATTCCTGGCTCCCCACTTCCCTTCTAACCCAGCTGTCGGATGGTGCAGGGATGGGTTGTTCTCACTGGTACTACGTGCAATACATGCCTACTGTGCTGGGGACAACTTAACCCCAAGCTACCACAACTGGAATACTGCAGCAAACCTCTATGGTACTTTAAATAAGGAAGAGCTGGACATCGGTGATGTTAGCGAATGGCAACGACTGTTTTCGAGGTGTTCTCCCGTGTGACCCTCGTGACGAACTACGATGTAGTGCTTCTTGCTATTCCTAAAAATCTATAATGATTCTGTGAGCTCCTCATTTAGAGATGAGGAAACTGAGGCAGAGACTCAGGGTTTGCAAGAGCCAGGGATGGCTGCTTTGTCTCAGGCCCTGAGCGTCTGACTGTAACTTCTGCTTCCTGAATGACAGGTAAATGGCTACTAAGTATGTATTCTGAATAAACCAGTATCCTGGTTAAAAAGAAAGAAAGAAAAGAAAAAGATACCATTCAATGACAGTTTAAGTCTTAAATGATTTTTTCTTCAAGTCTCTGGATTGTGGTTATAGATCCCCTAA